TCGGAAGTATATGTGTTTCTTTTTTCATATTTGGGTGTTTTGGGTTCATCACTATATTCAGTATTTTCATCTATTGAATCTTGTACATCACTTCTATGAATAACACTTTCAACTTTACTATCCCTATTCGCGCTGGTACCCTCATCTTCGTGTCCTTGAACATTTGACTCCCTACGATAACTACCAAAGATATCCTCGAGAGTTTCAGATTCATCAACTTTAATATCTTGGCCAACATTATTAGAAATTCGAGACTTAGTCGAACTATTTTCATCCAATTTTCGAAGTGCTTCGGCTCTTTGTGCCTTAACTATATCATCATTTTCTTCTTCTTCTTCTTCACAAGAAATATCTTCGTCGATAATAGACGTTTCAGATATTTGTGTTTTATCCATATCTTCATTTTCTTCTTCGACATCAGAAATACTTTCATCCGCCATAGATCGCTTCTTAAATAAAGAAGAGGCCTGACTAGAGATTCGACTACTTCTAGAACTTCTAGATAGAGTATTAGATCTGCGAGTGTTGAACCAATCCGATGATGGCCGATTACTTTTATCGATGATATCTTCTTCACTGTAAATTGTATGTTCTTCACTAGAATAACCATCTCTATGTTGATAGCCAAATTCATCGTCATTAGAAGGTTCTTTACTTTCAATAATATCTGAGAGCCCCATATTAGTTGATCTCTTTGGTTGTATTTTTCGTTTTGTTTTGTTAAGAATAGGGACATCAAATTCTGCATTACGTATCGCTTCTATTTGTTCTTGACTATCAGCTAAAAGTTTCTTTAATTCATATTTTTCACTTTTTTCTTTTTGAAGATTAGCACGAAGATTACCAATCATACGGTTTGAAGCATTAAGCGCTTTCAGGGTTTCTTCAACATTCAAATTATTGTTCTGTAATGCTGCAAGAACACCTGGATGTATTTCGCTAGATAAATCGCCGATAGCCTGCCCGTTTTCATCATAATATATATCATTTGATGTAACATCAGGTTTTTTCTTAATTCTGGAAGCATTTACTAAATATTCCAATTGAGACTGTAAATCTTCATTAGTTTTTGAGAGATCAGTTTTTTCACGATTAAGTGCAGCGATATGTCTACGATTATTTGCCATATCTTGTTCGTGGCGAGCCTTCAAATTCTCGATATTTGTCGTCAATTTCTCTTCTTTATCCTTAAGTTGTTCGATAACATCAGTTGCAGTTGAAAGTGCCTTTTCGACTTTTGAATAATCAACACGAGTTCTGATAAGTTGTTGTTGAAGTTCCTCTATTTGATTACTAAGCTCTTGCCTC